GCGCGCAGTCACGCATATCGGCGCAGATGACGGGGAATTAACACCTTCGTAGTTTTATTCTAGGTTTGCGTTAGTCGGGTAGACGGCAAAGATGAATCTCATCTACTGGTTGGTGCTCATCGTGCTCCTGCTCGCCGCCTACTACGTGTGGAACGCTCTCTACGGCCTGCCGTCGGACCTGCCGCCAGGACCATCCGGTTGGACACGGCTGCCCCTCATCGGCTCTCTACTGTCCACGCGAGCCGACCTACATGTCCAGTTTCAGGAATGGGCGAAAATCTACGGCCCGATATTCCACGTGCAGATGGCAACGAAGCTGTTCATCGTGCTTAGCGACGCTAAGCTCGTTAAGGAGGCATTCTCTAGGGACGACTTCGCCGGGCGACCTCACACGAACATCAACGATTACTACACGGAAGACCTAAAATACGGTGCGTGCGTGCGTTGCTGTGAGGGTCGTGCTGTGCTGTGTGTGGTGTGTGTGTGTGTGTGTGTGTGGTGTGTGTATGTTGTGTGTGCCTGTGGCTGGTGGTGCTGATGTGTAGTGTGTGATGTGTATGTGTGCTGTGTGTGGCTGTGCTGTGTGGTGGGTGTGCGTGTGTGTGTGTGTGTGGTGTGTGTGTGTGGCCGGACTGCCCGTGTGGTGTGTGTGTGCGTGTGTGCTAATACAGCCCAGCCTGGCTTACCAGAGTGCACGCGCATGGTGCTTAAGTCGCGAATCTGACTACATCGCCCGATTTGCTAGCTTCCATCGCGTATTGTAGTTCCCTTCTCACTGTATTGTCGTCCAGATCTTGTGTGGTGACCCTAGGAGTAGCCACGGAGTATTTATGCCGAGTATTTCTTCTTTTAATGCATTGACTGACTCTTAACGTCCAATAGCGACCTATGCAGTCAGTCTATAATTAAATGTACAAAAAGTATGCCTTTTTCACCAGACCACTACTAATTCGCCATTACCATAGGCTATATGGGATTTCGGTTAATAGTCTATAGAAAAGTTATAGTCTCCCAATTTGTTGAGAAATGCTATCATAATATTCTTGACTAATCACCATGGACATTATACGCATTACACTGCCAGAATATACGCGTTAACGCATGCTAAGCATTTATGCGTAACGCACTAAAATATGCTGTCGGTCTGCGGTGTATCACCGTGTATGCCTTAAACCTTATACTTGTACCCGTGACTCGTCCAAATGCTATATGCTGATAATGTACTGCTGCCTGTGTTGACAGGAGTTTTGTTCAGTCAAGGTCCAGCATGGAAGGAAAATCGCCGTTTCTCCTTAACATGTTTACGAGATTTCGGTATGGGTCGCTTCACGATGGAAGCAAAGATCATGGAAGAGGTGACCGTCCTTTTGGACATACTCGAGCAAGAGGATCGACACAGCGGCTTCGACGTGCACAACCATCTGGGCGTCAGTGTTTCGGCTATCATCAGCTCTCTTGTTTTCGGCAAGCACTTCACACACGACGATCCTTACTTCGTTCGCTTCCTGGATTGTATGAATAGACTAGCCAAAGCGATCACTCCCGACGCTTCCAACTTCATACCGGGGATCAGCCTGCTGCCAAACAGCAACTTTAGAAAGTACGTACGGAGACATAAGGTACATACGGAAAGCGTGAAGTTTGATAAAAAGAGCTGTGTGCCCATTACCCTATTGTTTCTCTCATTGACGTCTACGAATAATATCAGAAACACCATTAATGTCAGGAGCCCCATATGTGCATGGGGGTCGACTCGAAAGCCTAGTGCTACTTTGACCCTTACAGCACTTATTTGTTAGTAAGTTTACTATTCTTTTTTATTTATACTCTCACGTTATACCTATTATACACCTGCTGCATTGTAACTACAGTTACGACGTTCCTACTGCCATTTAACGGTGTCATTTCAAAACCACGTTTCATGTATGGAATCTCGGGTGGCACGATCGCAATAATATGTCTGCCTGCCGACGTATAGTCTTGCGGTTCGTATGACCTTAACCCTATTCTCTGCCTACAGGTTTAAAACCCATTACAACGAATTGAAGACAGATTTCTATGAGGAGGAAATAGCCGAACACAAGGCAAGACTAGACACCGAGAATCCTCGCGATTTCATTGACGTCTACCTGACGAAGATGATCGAACTGCGGAAGGCAGGAAAACACACGACCTTCTCAGGTTGGCGCCGCCAGGTGTCGCTCCTACACACCAATCACATACACCAAGTATTTGCTGTAAAGAAACATCGAATGTGGCAGAGAATCGTGTGGTGGATGAAGCTATATGTAGGACGGCGTCGAAATAAATGAGAGTGGAAGAAAACGATTAGACGAGTAATAGGGGGCGCGCTGGTTCCATTAGCCATACCGAGTCCATTCCATCAAGACGCCCACTGACTCTGGTGCGCACTCAGTTTATTATTTAATACGCACCAGCACTTATAGTTCATACCATCCAGCACCTTCTTTGTTTACTCATACGAACACAGATATTTTGA